AAAATAAAATGCGGTGTATCTCTCGATAGAGGGGGGCTAGAAAGAAGTCGACGGTCTAGGTCGAATCCCCTTTTCCTGAGCTTTCGAATGGTATATAGGTTGCTGGGCGAAAAAACCAACCAGTTTTCAAAAATGGGGTGGAGATATTTACTATTAGCTTGCTCCACCCAGCTCCACCAATGTATTGGCTTTTATCGGTTACCGGAGCAAATGATTTTTAGAGCCGGGAAGCAAAGAAGCCTTAACATGCTGTGAACCGTTCGAAAGCTGAGATCATGGAGAATCAACATAGATCGTCGACTTTTTTATAGGTCTTCCGTGCCGCGAGATATGAGGGATTTTATGTGCTTCAAAAATGAACTGATTTTGTGTCCTCACTTTCTGCTTTCCATATGAACGCTACGAGGATAAATAAATAATATAAATAAACATAATTACCGTTTCTTTTCTAAATTTATGAGTGTACTTGTTGCTTGAGGTACTTAGCCTGCAAAACCTTTTAATACGATTTTTATCATATTCTCAGAGTACAATACTCAGCCCAGGTGAAAGGGGTCATCGGGAGTTTGGCCTCAAAGTGAAGGGGGTAAGATCCATCACTCCCCCTATCGCAACTATGGTTCGCAATCCGCAGCGCACGCGCGCCCAAGTGTGTGGTCGCCGCGTCTGTGTTAGGCCTCGGATATACCTCACGCGATTTCAGTCTCGACGCGATTTGGCAATACTCCAAACGCTCATAACTCATCGTACGGGGATTCCGAATGTACGGAAGATGGGGCAATTTATCAAACTACGAAAGTTATACATGCTGTACATTTGGGGTCTACCAGTATTGAATTTGAAAACATCTGGCAAATTGCCAGATCACGTCTCGGCGACTGAAATCGCGTGAGTTATGTCCCTTGCCTTAAACCGACGCTGCGACGAATCACGCGCCTTTTTTGGGCGAGCATACTCTTAGCATTAATATCGTTGCGACATCGCTCAAACTCAGCGATGTCGCCGTCGCCATTTCTGCACCAGGATGCGCGAATCGCTCGAATGGATTTTTCTTTGTATAAAGTTTTGTATTTTTTTGAAATGTTAATCTCATTTAGAACTATTCCATCTCACACAACCGCTTCCTCTTCGCTGAGAAAAGGATGGTCATCGAGCATTTCATACCAGTAATCCTTGAACAACACGTGCGAAGTATATGGTATGGAATGCTTCCTCTATGTCACCTCATTCTCTGTTGGCATTTACTGTTCTCGCAATGCACTAATCTTGTTTTGTTCTTGTTTACTGATAGCAAGTAGATGGTGACCGAATCTCGAATGTTCTTGCTTATAATGAAGGAGAATGATATGTATGCAATCTCGGTTGCTTAGGCATATATGTATTAGATCGGTGCAAAAGTTTTGTCAGTTTTTTCAATCCATCGGCAAACACGTTAGATTGAAGATAAACTAATATTTCGAAATGTATCTGATGCAAAATTTCTTCCCCTCTCCAACTGCTGAACTCCCGTTGTGTTTTGTTGAGAAAGTGATGAGATATTCGCTGGAAATTGCAACCATTTTACCATGACCAAATTTCACCAAATTTCAAAATTTTTGTATGAGATGGAGGAGCCCTAATAACCAGATAGGGCAAACCTTTTGCCAACTTATACAATCTTTTCCTTTTTTTTCAGCTGCTTTTTTAGAGTTTTGCTAAATATTTTCCTAAGAGTCTTGTGTGGAAAAATCACATAACCTGTTATTACACCACACTGCAAAACCTATAGAATACTCAGGTTTCAACATTCGATTATTACTACCGCTATCATTACGAAGTAAACGAGCGATTTTCGCTTCAAATTATAAAGATTTTGAAACATAGATTATGTCAATGCGCACTCCTGAAATTAGAAATACTGCGATTTTCCCCACAAATTCCGCCTATCTCGGCAAAATAGACAAGTGTTAGAAAGAGGAGAGAAAGTTGCATCGAATGGTGACTAAAATGTTTAATATTTTATGTTCTGCGAGGTTGAAATAGGCTGAATGTAAAATTTGGTCACTTCAAATTAAATGGTAGAAATTCTAAAAGACAAGCCGCAGGGTCACAAAAAATTGCTTCTGTTGGCAAAAGGTTTGCCCTATCTGCTGGTTATTAGGGCTACTCCGAAAATCTCATACAAAAATTTTAAAAATTAGCGAAAGTTGGACATGGTAAACACGAGTGGTTGTAATTTCCAGCAAATATCTCGTCATTCTCGCAAATAAACACTATAAGAGTTTAGCAGCTGGAAAGAGGAAGAGAATCTGCATCACATCTTGAAGTGTTTTTTTTATCTTCATTCTAGTGTGTTTGCCGATAGATTGGAAAAACTGACAAAACTTTTGCACCAACCTAATATTATCGTTCGCAGATTAGCAGACAAGAAGTCGCGCAACACGTTAAAATATGCGTACCCAGAATTTTACAGGACTGAAAGCATGGACTTTCGTTACGTAGCTAGCATATATGCCTACCAATGATTGAAAGAGTGAACTCAAAAGTTTATGAACAAGTAGTCGATCTCATTGCAGATGTTAACTTGCGCCGGTTAAAAATGTTGGTAAATGCTAGAATAAGTGTGAGTTCATATCCTTCCTCGTTTGATGTGAAGTTCTCTGAAAGCATATGGCGCCGTATTCTGTTCGAATTTCCCTAATACATGCAAGACAAACAAACTAGGGCAACTTTTCCCGAAGTGCGTATGGTGTGCGAACGTCTACGAAATCGCTTTGGGTATGTCCGGTAGTTAAGGGATGAGCGATTTTCACGCAATAAACGGTCGTCCAGGCAGTTTAGTCGCCGACAGAAAATCGTAGCGAGGGGATCGCTGGAGGTATGCCTAAAGCCCAAAGGCTGTTTCCCACTGCTGAAAGTGGAAAAATTGTCGTTTGCAACGCACAAGTAAACGGATGTGGCTCCAAACATATCCGTTATCTGACTATATATGAGTTAGTGGGGATTAAGAGCAAAGTATGAAATTGTATGAAACCTCCACTTATGTCATCCTAATGCCACATTGAGGATGGCAAAACATCCAGGCCAGATTATCATTTCGATTTCTACATCTGGTTACCAGTGTTCATCACCCAAAGCTTACTATACGGTAATATTTTGGTTTCAAAACTCCTTCTCTCCTCCTTTTTAGAATCTGGAATAACAACGACGCCAGTATTGATGAAGAAGATGCGCTCCAATTGAACTACACACGCAGCTGGCGCGATTGAGTGGAAATTGGTAGAAATCAAAAGTGGCGATAAAGGCGAATTTGTTTCACAACGTCCATTTGTCACTCCATTGCCGCGCTGCGGTCCTGTCGTTAGACGTAGGCTGTTGCCCGAGCCTTGGTAGAGGGCGTATAACTGACCAGGGAAGGAACCTTAGTCGAAGTGGCAACTCCAAAAGAGCATACCTTCTTGAAGAACATTGAGTGCTAATTTCAAAAGCTGTCTTCCTTCTCAACGGGCGCCTCTAGACAAGCAGTTATGAGAGCTTTTGTAGTGAAAATTTGAACGCTCAGTCAAAAGAAAATAGTTCATAGATTTTCACGTGAGTTCGAGTGGAACTTGATAACTGTTAAACATCTTCAAAAGAGAATTTCCTCGCCTTGCTCACCATAATTCCATGTACGGCTTGGAAAGGCTGCTACCGTTGATCTTATTTTAACTAAGCGTTCAATCTCTGACTAAGCATAACTCATAACTCAGAGGCGCCCGCAAATAAGGAAGACAGATTGAAATTAGCGTTCGGTGTCCTTCAAGACTACATCCATCTCAACTGGAAAGGCCACTTCGATTAGGATTTTACCCTTATGAGACAGTTCAAATTAGTTTTCTCACTTCGACTAATCCTCAATTGGTTATTCTAATTCACTATCTGATATAACCCCGAAACCTCAAAATTTTCAATTTTTCGAGTTGCCTGAAGCCCTCCGTAAAATGGTTGAGTAACAATAAAATCCTTTCTAGCTGTAATCATTGTGGAATTTTCAGATTGCAGCATAATGGCAGTTCTTCTCTTTCAGCTTCAACTGAATTTTGCTTAGAGAAAGGTGTAACTCAAACTACCGCAGAAGTGACGCGGCGCTTCTGTTATTGAGAATGTGCCTATCTTTGCGTAAATCTTTTTGTTTTAGTCTGTTCCCATGTGCAGCCTGTTTTCTCTTTCCAGATTAGAATCTCTATGTGATAGTTGAGCAGCTCGTAGAAATGTTGTACTTTGTTGCTTCCCACATCTAAACTTCCGGAAGCTATTGCTCTTTTATTCCACAAGTGTAGAAGTATTTTGGACAAAGGGAGCATCCCCTCCAACGGAATTCAACAAATATGGAGATTGCTTGAAACTTATAATTATTTCTTTCTGTTAAGTTCAAAGCTACCAATTCCTTCCAACCAGATTTCCTTCATAAGGTAAATGAAGATTCGCAGGAACAAATATCACTACTAAACTACCGTTGAGCTATCGCTCGTGCTTTGACGACCACTAAAATCGAGAGCGTTTTGTGACTCTGCAGAGGTGTACTTTAACGACTCATGCAAAAAACATGGCTGAAAATGTAGTGGAATTGCTTGCAAAAAGAGTTTGAGGCAAAATTTGAATGCAACTTACCTCAAGAGACGGTCAGAACGTAAGCTCAAGAAAATTATGAAGGTTTTAAAAATTAGTATGAACTCCAGCTTGCATCACGACTACCATTCAAACATGCTGTTGACAAGAATTTGCAAAAGTGATAAATGAAGACTGTGCGACTCTGCTGCGATTATGAAAGAATGAAAAGAAAAAAGAGGTAAAAATTGTAGTTGCTGTTTACCTTCATTGTACATAGTCCAAGTGGTGCAATTGATTTTTTCAGAAATCTTGCGCTATAAGTGCAGTCCTTATGCCAAAGATGCGGGCCATCTGGAGTTTCTGCAGCATTCAGCTGACGCATTAGAGCTAAGGATAGTAACACTTAGAGCAGGCCGTGAGCACTATAGACGCTAAAAATGCGTACTCAAGTTCCAAGCGGCGTCTTCTATCTTAAGGCCATTGTAGTCAATCTTTGCCGGTTTGAAGAGCTCTGTGGGCAGTGAGCTTAGGTATCCGCAGCCAAGGAAGAGCGTGGCTATCAATAGGCAGATGAAAGTAGGTGACCGTCGCAGATAATTTGTTTCGTAGAAGCGGTACGTCAGCAAAGCGAAGAAGACGGAAGTGATAACACCCACGGTTGAGCCTAAGCCATAAAAATATGACGCTAAAACTAGTGCATAATCAAAATCCAGTATTTTTATCTATGTGAATGCGAAAAAGGCACCCTTTTTTCTATTGAAAAAATGTTTGGTGCTGAATAGAGTGCTGGTGCTGCTATTCGTATGTGTATTCTAGTGCTTCTAGTGCTTAGTTAAGGTGGTTATTACAATAAAACCCTCGTTTTAGAAGACCAGCAATTCTAACCAAAACACTCTGCATGTTAACTACTAAAATCGCTAAACACTGCGTATACTTGAAAATTCGACTAACTTAGTGGATTCTCAGGATACCAGTACTTCATTGCAACGAAAACAGGCCAGTGTATCAGATAAAGAGCATATGATATCTCTCCGACGTACACTACCTCCGGTCTAGTGAGTACAGCTGTCTATAAATACATATTTGCAAAAGTTTTGCGAGAAACTGGAGTCTGACCTGACAGAGCTTGCCTAGCCTAATGAGTATTGCTGTCATGATCGTTGTTTCTATACGAAGGAATCGCTTTGGTAACGGTACCCACACAAATGGTACCATTATGGCGAGGACGAATATTAACCAAGAAATGACGTCAGTACAGCCCAATTTTCCTGAACGCTTTCTTATAGGTCGCCATCAGCATCAAAGGTTTCTCACCTTTATCCTGTAAGCTATCCTCACTCTCGGTCACCTGATTCGTCTGTGTTGTACAGGTCTTCTAAAACATACTGCTTAACAGCCGCCAGCTACTTTTGTGAACAATACTATATTGATTGCTTGCGATCTAATATGACTCATGTAACTGTTTTTATTGAACAATCATCTTGCATTTGCAAAGATATTTTGAATGTGATGGGATTCTTGAAGATTCATCCACTACATGTGAAACCCAACATTCTCGTTTAGCGCTGTGAGGTAGTATGTACGCACGTCCAAATAGTGCGAATTCGTGATTAATTCGATGCACGATCGCACAGGCTCAAGCACGCTTTTGTTCGGCCAGAGCGGATAATCAGACAAGATCGGGCATCTCAGCAAAGCTGGCAAGCTGGTGTATATCAAGGAACCCTGGAGCATAACCTTTGTAACTCGCGAAAGAATATTAACTTAACTTTTGCATATTCCCAAAATGCCCACGAAAACATCAAGCGTTTTTCCTCCAGCTAGATCCCGTGAGTACCACTCGCGCATTTATCTTGCAGCCTTTCGCTCTTTTATTTTTTCTCAAGTAGACGCATTAAAGGTAGTATTAGGTTGGTGCAAAAGTAATGCTCGTTTTTCTAGCCCTCGTTTCAAGATAGCTTTTCTCCATCGGAGTTTCTAATATGAAACTTACCCAGCATATTGTCAAGAAGCTTCTTTCATGCTATATTCAGCGGTGGTTGAAAGAAGCTTCTAGCCTCATTCGTTAACAATTTATAGAGCTTCATACAACCGCACTCAAAACCAGAATTTCATTGCACTTACTTTTCGGCCAGAATCCAAGTGCGAGTAAAGGTATTCTTTTGAAAATTTAACTATTGTATGTAGTAGAAATTTTCTACGTTATGCATGCTTTACTGTTTTCTTAGAAATTACTTAAACTGACATTTCGGCGCCTCAACATGAGTGATGCTTTTGGCCATTCTGTGGCCCATAGATTTCCTTTAAAGAGGGCAATCGCCAAAATTCTGCTCATTTCTGTAAGCGTGAGGGCGGGCTTCCTGTTGACAGTTTTTGCAGAAATGTAGAAGCTGTTCAGTACACAGAAAATCAAAAAATTCCATATTTTGGGATTTTTAGGGTTACGAAAAAATGTCGAAAAAAGCGGAAAATTTTGAGTATTATTTTTTCCTTTTCGCAAATATTCTTTATTTGAACCCTTTTGTACTTTTTTGTACTACTGGTTTGCGGCCCAAGACAGTCAACTTATCAGTTGAAAACGAGGTTTCCGATAAAAAAATTTTTTGCTTATCAATCCACATTTTTTCACCGATTTGCGACGTCAACATATGTTAATGTGCGCTGTGTAGAGAGAGGTTTGGTGCCTCTGATGAACTTTGCCGCACTGAAAAATATGGATTTATTAGAAAGTTATAGCACGTCAAAGTGAGAACTCGCAAAACGCGCATTACTTTTGCACCAACCTAATAGCTCGGCAAAACTGATCATATCGAGATTTGGAAGTGGTTGATTGCTTACCCTCAAACATGAAAGTAGATTAAGTCCGATCGCCTCGCACCCTCACCCCGCCGAAAAAACTGCCCACAAACCCGCCGCGCAATCCATTCCTACACGTGCTCGGAAGACTCATAGTTGCCCTCCCAACGTTACAGGCGGCTTGCCGCAATGCTGTAATCCTGCAATGACTCCGCATCTCCAATCTTGGCGAGAAGACCACTCGTCCAAATTTGCAGTGGAAGGCTTAGATATGTTTACCACCACTTTCGCATTCTACAAAGTGAATTTTTTTCATTCAGCGCATCGGATAACCCCAAGTAAGCAAAAAATGCACGTCAAGAGTTGCCGAGCCACTAGAAGGGTTGGCAGAAGCGAAGAGTGCGAGACAGGGGGGTCAACGATAAATTATTTATAATTTCTGGGAGCAAAATGTTTTTTTTTGCAAATGCGACGTTTATCAAGTTCTTCACTTGCTCTCGTCTGCCTAGGATCACTTGACATAAATTATGTTCATTAGAATTTGAAACAAGCATGTAAAGGAGTGAATGTCTCGTTGTGTAATAAAAGCATACCCTCTAAAGTTACTTTTGAAGAGATGTTTACGTATTGTTGCTCTAAGAGATGAAAATTTGATCTAAAAAACAAAAAATCTGTTTTGGAGATCTTCGACAAGCATGAAATTTAAAGCTGCTGCTTTCAAAACCTTGTGAAAGAAGGTATGACATTTCAAATAGGTACACGATATTTAATACAGCTAACATAAGTCTTCCAATTCTAGTGAAGTCTGATGCATAGTGCCATTATATATCGAAAACGAAGTTGTTGAATTTACAATGAGTATGGCACCTTGCTCTCGGCTTGCAGTCATAGTTGCGATAGGGGGAGTGATGGACGACCCCCTTCACCTGGGCTGAGTATTGTACTCTGAGAATATGATAAAAATCGTATTAAAAGGTTTTGCAGGCTAAGTACCTCAAAAAATAAGTACACTCATAAATTTATTAAAGAAACGGTATTTATGTTTATTTATATTATTTATTTATCCTCGTAGCATTTTGGAGAGCAGAAAGTGAGGACAAAAAAGCAGTTGGTTTTTGGGGTACATAAAATCCCTCATATCTCGCGGCACAGAAGACCTAGAAAAAAGTCGACGGTCCACTTCGATTCTCCATGATCTCAGCTTTCGAATGGTATACAGCATGTTAGGGCTTGTTTGCTTCCCGGCTCTAAAAATCATTTGCTCCAGTAACCGATAAAAGCCAATACATTGGTGGAGCTGGGATGGAGCAAGCTAATAGTAAATATCTCCACCCCATTTTTGAAAACTGGTTAATTTTTTCGCCCAGCAACCTATATGCCATTCGAAAGCTCAGGAAAAGGGGATTCGACCTAGGCCGCCGACTTCTTTTTAGCCCCCCTCTACCGAGAGATACACCGCATTTTATTTGAAAACATGGTCATTTTCAACAGCAGATTTCTGCCACATGAAGACCTAATCACTGCTGATTATCTATCTATGTTAAAGAGCAAGTCTTCATTAACAAACGTAGACCGTCGACTTTCTCGTAGCATTCATTTGGAGAGCAGAAGTGAGGACACAAACTCAGTTAATTTTTGAAGCACATGAAATCCCTCATACTTCGCGGCACAGAAGACCTAAAAAAAGTCGACGGTCTACGTCGATTCTCCATGGTCTCAGCTTTCGAATGGTTTACAGTATGTTAAGGCTTCTTTGCTTCCCGGCTCTAAAAATCATTTGCTTCGGTGACCCATAAAAGCCAACATATTGTATAGGTCGTCCCGAAAGTTTTTGCGCACGATTTTCAAAAATTCATAACTTCTGATTTTTTCAACCGATTTGACGGCTTTTACTTTTATGTAAAAGGGTAAGTCATGCTCTTTATAATGACATCCCAGCTGCTTAGTAATGGGCATCTGTTGCATAGATAAAAGCTCAAAACAAAATCACTCAAAATTTGAATTTTTGTGTAGGGTCATAAAAAATCAGAAACTTGCAACAAAATCGGATCAGTCGGTATTGTAGGTTCTTTCACCAGCTCTTTCTAACAGTGCAAAGTTTGCTCCGATTGAGCGTCTCCATGAAAAGTTATAATTTCCGAGCAAGCAGTACAAAAAGGCGAATTTAATTTATTTTGGCTTTTTTCAGGGAAATCATAACCTTTCATGGAGACGCTCAATCGGCACAAACTTTGCACTGTTAGAAAGAGCTGGTGAAAGAACCTACAGTACTGACTGCTCCGATTTTTATTGCAAGTCTCCGATTTTGACCCTACACAGAAAATTAAAACTTTCACCATTTTTCTTCTATCGCTCCTATCTATGCAACAGATGAGCATTACTAAGCAGCTGGGAAATCATTATAAAAAGCATGACTTACCCTTTCACATGAAAGTGAAAGCAGCCAAATCGGTTGGAAAAATCAGAAGTTATGAATTTTGAAATTCATGTGCAAAAACTTTCTGGACGACCTAATAAGAGCGAGGTGGATCAAGTTAATAGTAAAAAATGTGCTGTTGATTGACATCGTTATCAGCATTAACGGAAACGTGAGCGAACGCATCTATTTGAGCGTGCTTATCGTTGTCATAAGTTTATGTTTTTTTGGTAAAAGGTGCGCCTTTGATTGACAGTTATGCCATCATTATTAGCAACTCAAAAAATTACGGGAGATTGGTGAATTTCCACAACTTCACACAAAAACCCGCCTGTTTCTGGAATCTATACTCTGTAAACCTAGTGCTGAAGAAGGTCACTTTCGTGAAAACGCTCTAGACTCACCTTACCTAATTTGTAGGAATGGTTGGTTTCAATGAATCAGAAAGGAAGGTGTTAGTACAAAGCATGATTACTGCACTTAGATCCCGGCTGGATTGCGAACCCAACTCTGTGCTTTATGCTTTTGAAAGTTATTCGCCTTGTGACAATATGACCTATGATATTGAAAAAAACCAACGCGCAGCATATTATGGTTCATTTTCAAAATCGTGACGACGAGTTGACTGCGGTCTTTCCGCACACAGAAGGATAATACACTCATACAAGCAGGCAACACCTCAACGCTAAGCTCAGTCACTTCCAGTTCCTGTCTACTATCATATGTAAGCAGAAAAACTATTTGATAAGATATAAAAACCAAGAATTGGGAGCAGGGCCCGGCACAGATCGTCTAGAAGCAGGCTGGACTTCGTTTTTGGAGCAAAAAGCAAAGGAGATATCGTTTTTGACGATTTGGGGCCCAGCACCATGAATAAGCGCCATTTAGTCGAATACAAGCTTTTCGGACAGGTTATCACACGATTGACATGCTCCATCGTGTATGGCGAAAAGTGCGCGCAATTTGAAAGCGAGGCTAAAATAAACAAATTGCTTGTTTACAGCGCAAACAAAGTTATATGACGCCAAAATTGTACTGTATACATTAAAAATTATTTGCAAAAGAATTATGTAAAAAGGTTTGAAAACTTATGTGAAGTAATACGTTTTCCAAAATTAGATCGTCTCCAGACGGCCACCAGACGATCTGAGATCGTCTGGAGCATATATTTCTGTCACTTCACATAAGTTTTGGATTTTTCTATCATGGACGGATTCCCCGGTCAAAAATCTACCCCTGAGCATGAAAACATTTTCATATCATTGCCTTTCCTTTGTTTTTTGCCTTCATTTTCTCATATATCGCTTTGTAAAATATCGCGCTCCAATCCCAAACTCTTGTGCATGCGTAGTACTCAGCTCCAATTTGGATTTTCACTCTTATCCTACGTTTTATCTTTCAGACTAGTAACTATTTCTTGTTTTCATCTTCTCCTAAGCAAATAGGTCAAAGAGGACTTCGTAAAACTTCCGAAAGTCATGGAAGACTTCGTTTTCAAAAACGCCAGAAACCGACTCGTGCCGGGCCCTGATTGGGAGTGCGTGCGTGTTGCGCGCGGTCGCGTCATCGTCACGGTTTTTCGAATGCCCTATACCTCCTTTTTTCGGCTATTCCGCAGATGCTGTTAAAGAAGAAGTTGAGCAGCTTTCTAATCAGCTAACAGGACGTATGCCAGAGGAGGTGAAGCCAGAGTTCGACAAGGCCCAAAAAGTATGCACTATTTCCTTCCCGTGTTGCGAAAGCATATGAGATCTGGCTCTTTTCCCATTACTTACCGCAAAAATCTGATGGACCTACTAGCAAAGCTAGTTTCCATTTCGACTAGAACGGCAGAGGTAGAGAAAGAAATTTTCTCTCTACTCTGTTCTCAGAACACAACGCAGAAGTCGTACAACGATAGAGCATCTAAGCAAATACTTAAGATTTGTCAATCTTCTACTAAACACATTGTTATCTAAAAACTTCATTTAAAGGGTTGATATAAGTGATCCAGACAGGCTGTTACCATATGACTTTTTGAAATATCCTAAAAGATAGTATGAAGAAACTGGTCGCCTACCTGCTGACTTCCTGGTGCTACCAGAGGGCCAGGAAAAAATCACAAAAGCGCTTAAAAGAAGAAGAAAGTTTCAAATCCATTTTCGACTCAGAACGCTTTTGCACGCAATTCTACTTCTACTCCGATGACCTTTTGGAGGAAGAAGAAGATTTTTCAGGCAGCGAACTTGTTGTCTCTGACGTTAGCGATAGTGATATTGTTGATGATGATGTGCAGGAAATAAAGTTGTTCCTAACTTGTACATCTTTTGGGATAAACATTATTGCTTTCGTTTTATGTTGATGCAGTGAAACAGGAGCACGATCTTCATAATCAATTTTTTTTAATTTCTTAATTTCTTTTGAAAATTTTAAATTTTTTTTTCATTTTGTGCCTAAACAAGGTACAAATTAGAGTTCTTTATACCACGCTTTTTTACCTTTTCTCTCTTCCCCCCCCCTAGACTCACATACCCCCTTCACCCTGGAAGGTCGGGAACAGCCGAGACCCCCCTCACCTGGGGAGAGCCCGGCTCCCCCTATCGCACCTATGCTTGCAGTATGAGCGGGGTTACTGGAAAAGTAGCAGCAAAAGCTTCGCATTTTATTAAAGTTATCTTGGAATCTCCATCGCTGTTCTACATACTTTTTTGGGTCTGGCAACTGTGCAAACAAAATAGAGACCTGTAAGATACTTTGCAATATCTAGTCTTCTACTCAATATACAAAGCAAGAAACATGATGTTCCGCAATGTGACTGTGCTCACCACGTCATTTTTGTCTATTATCCAACCTGCTAGCATTTGTCAAAGCGAACTTTAGAGGATTTCCTTAGGTGCTTGCATTCACAAGTCACCTCATAATGCACTTTAATGCCCGAATTCGTGGAAGGCCAGTCAACTGTTTGGTCATTTATCTTATGCAGACTAAATTTTTACCTTGTTTATCAAAGAATAGAAACTTGGAACGCACTAGTAATAATTGCTACAGAATTTTGCAAACAAACTTTAAAAAAATTGAAGCTTGTAGGAGCGTTTTGTACTGTTTTGGAGTTTACATTCAGATTTTTACGAATTGCCACTAGCTCAGAATTGAAAAGACTTACATCATCGCTGTACACAAGAGCAATTATGCCAGCACAGAACTGCCACATCCTTGCGAAAACATTATAGAAAGCGGTGTTGTCATCAACTGCGAAATAGAAGTGCATGGAAGCATATACCATTCCTTGAAAGAAAACAATATGTACAAACTTCTAGGCGAAAGTACTTTAACAAAAAAGTTAAACGCCACCGACCCAAGAAAAATATCTTCTTTGGTAGTAGCAATTTCTGTAAAAAGAAAAGAAGGGGAGCCAACAAGTACCACTGCATCTCGACGCATAAAGACCAAGTGTGCGTAAAAAGATCATCAGCATTTTTCAACTGTAACTCATACGCATTCTAGGCTTTTGATTAGGATTCGACATTTTTAGATTTACCATTTTCTCATACTCCTTCAATGGATCACTTTCGAACTTGATGTTTGCGATAAGTAATAATGCTCTGCGAGAACTTGTAAAATTTATGGAGCGAAACGCAGGTAGCTTTACTATGACAAGTAAAAGTACTGCGAACAACACCATGTAATACAGTGGCAGTATTCGTTTGATTCTAAATACTTGCCAATTGCGATTAATAATGGGTCATTACTTCATCTTAACCTTTTATAATAAAAAGTTAAAAGAAACGAAGCGCTTATAGGGGATGCCCTGGTGATTATCATTGCCATCAGAAAGCCGGACACGACGAAGAACCTGAGTCTTCTTAACTCTTTTTAGATCTGCTATTCGTAATTAGAGCTCTCTCGTGATTGATATATTATACATATCACTCATTTTTTTTACACAGCAACTCACATGTCTACTCCTACGTATCCGTTTGGACAATTTGTGGGGAAGAAATGAAATGCAACTACCATTGATATCGCCCATGCTCGTATTCCTTGTATATCCAGCCGCTTTCGAACCGTAGAACTACAAACACGGTCTTCTATAGATGAATCATTTTTGCAAATTATGATATCACAGCGGAAGTGTGTAACGACAGCTTTCTCGATATGATCGTTAATTGATCTTAACATCAAAACTCACTAGAGTCTGTGCAGCCCATCGTTAAAATTACTTTGTTGGAAATGGCATTATGAGATCAAAAGGCCTACGGTTTAGAAAATGAAAACTCTTCATGTACTTCCTACAAATTGGATTGCATGACAATGTCTACGACGTAGACGACAGAACTAGACTTTGCGTAAGAGCGCAACTCATCAACTTTTCCATACTGATAATCAATCAGATTATTTGTAGCGCAGAGGTACTAATATGTCATCAATTTTCCCGAGGCCTATTATTACGCGAAATAGTTTGACTACATTCGAAATCAACTCTCCACGAAATTATTGTGTAAATTCAGATTATATTAGTCGTGTCCGCTTACTAATTCAAGAACGGCTTTTATAAGATAAAAGTTATCCGTTTTGTAAGTCTTCAGGTTTACTAGTCTGAGATGATTACATCCTACTGCCAATGGTTGAGTAAAATTATCACCTCAGCTCGGCTATTAGAGGCTTATCAGTTTCTTCCTCAACTTCGTCGTCAGACTCTGCAATTTCAGGCCATAACCTCTTTTTGAGCATTGCACAACACTACAAACCTCTTTCAGAAAGCAAAAGCTCTCGTGACATAGTGCTAGCGGAACGGAAACTCTAAATAGGAGAATGAATACACCAAGAAAGAAGGAGCATTTCTATGAAAAAGGTAGTCTGCTCTGATGATAGTAGAGTGCGCTTGAGGAAGCAAAGGATTAAGAAAAAACAGATGTAAAGCGCCTGCCCTCTTTTGATCAAATCTCGACATGCTTTAGAAATTGTATTGTATCGTACTGCCGACATAAAAGGCACTATTCCGTGGCCTAATGTTTCGACACGAGAGGCGGCTCTTCGGCACCCTTAGCAGCCTAATTCTGCCCGCCTCTGTTGGTAAGCGCAGCCGCTTTGGGTAAGCGGGAGGGAGTCACGCTGTCGTTAGAGAAGCAGGAGCTCCGAATTTGACGGGCTATACGCAAGATCGCCCCTCAAAAAGAAGAATAAAAGAAGATTTCGAGTATTACATGAAACAATGTTACACGTGGGTGGTTTAGATAGGTCCTTCACGTTGCACGTGCAGATTTTACGGTGTTTGGAGAACTAGGAAGGGGGAAATCGAGAAATGACGAGTGAATAGGTTCAACTTTTCAACTTCTTGTCATCGTAATTGAACAACTGCCAATATTAGTGCTTTGATGTGCACTAGCTTTCTTTGAAATATGCAAAAAATTCTGAAACTGCTATATAAGAAAGGCGGAGTAATTAGCGCAGAACTGGAGTAGAGCAATTAGAGGTAAGACGGAGCGGCGCAGAAGGACAAACACCCTTTCGACACTAATCGACTTTTTGTAACTGAGGTAGTGCGGGTCAGCGATCGATTGTCTACCATGTTTCTCTGCTATTTCTCAACAATTTTTAATGTTCTGCTAGAAAATAGCAAAGCCACTTTAGACTAGGAAGTCTAAGCTTATTTGTGACCCTTCTGAAACAAAGAGGTCGCTAACCTCGTATCAGGGTACTGAAGAAGACGCGATCAGTGTTAGGCCCCGGGCAGACTTCATGCGATCAGATCGTCGCGACTCAGTCGCGACGAGACAACTGTCACAACATCATTCCATGCCGATCAACTTGCATTCGGTTGTGATACTTTTCCAGCCCGACATTTTTGAATGTGAAATGAAAATGAATGGAAATCTTGGCGATTAGATCGCGACGATTAAGTCGCGTGAAGTCTGACCGGAGCCTTAGAAGGCTATTGATAAAAAACTTCGCGGTGGCAAAATAAGACCGAGTTGATCAAAATCAGAGGCAGTCAATCCATTATAACTTGCGTACATCCATTATAACTTTGAAAAGATGCATAGCAAAAAACGATCGCTGCTGTCAAACGTAAATGTTTTACAAAGAACTACTCTGAAAAATTCACCGCTTCAACATCGACCTCAGAAACATTTAGTGATATTAGAGTATAAGCTTTTCGAAGACAAAATAGACTACCTCATAATTATTCCCTATATACACGGCGGGAGGATTCCCACGGTACTTTTCCGTTATTCGGACCCATTTCTTCAAAAAGGATATTTCTTCTGACCTTGTACCGTATTTGGTCCCAAATTCATAGAAAGGAGTGCCAACCTTCTGCCATGTGTCAAAAAAATCGACATGTCATCCACATGTCTAACAGGTTTCATCAAAGGTTTGTGTTGCACTACCTAGCGATGTAAGTTCAATCTGTATTTTAGTCAATGATGACCCCGTTTTTATCTAAACAATTTCAGAAATGAACGCCGTTATAATAACAACGTTATTCTGTTATCACCGAACGGTTTAGACCTGCTCAGAATGGAGAAGTTCGCTAGGATTCCGTTATTCAAGCGGCGAAGCAGGCAACAGCGAGATACTGCAAGCCATCATTTATAGTTTCTCCAGACTAAATTCGCATGGCAAAAAGTTTGAAGAGGAAGACAAATTTGAATTATTGCTGAAGGTAATCAAGATATTCTGGGATAAGTTCTAGACTGTTTTGTTCTTATAGAAAACAATTGGCAGGCTTTTAGATGGTCACAAATGCACTTTTATCTCACCGGAAATGATTTCGAAAAGAAAACAAGTCAAAATGGACTAAAACATGTCAGTTATTTCCTAACACGTGGCGGAGAGGCAGTCTTCGTAGAAGGATCAGGATCATCCTGAAAGTGAGTCAATCACTTATACAAGGTGTCCCAGAGAAGTACCTACCGTTTGGTTGTTAATAACTCACTTGTGATGAAGTCTTTTGAGAAGATTTGGGTACCATTTTGTAGAGCTAGCTCCAACTTAAATTAACAGTATGGAGCGAATCACCGATTGCTCTTCACTACTGCAGATTACGGTAGAAACTTCAAGCATATGGTGTCACTGTGAAAAAAGCTGACAATTCAAAAATTTTCAAAAAAATGAAAAATTGTGTAATAGGGTTTCAATGTACGCCGAGTTCAATACTTAAAGGCATTGGACAGGTAGAATGGACCCCCGTCCGATTTTGGTAGTGTTGGGTAGTAGACCCCTCAAGTACACGTAGCCCCAACTCCATCCTCCAATTCATGCGCTAAGTCCCGAAAAGCCGCTTCAGAACTCCACCAGCCCCGCCCACTCAGTGGAAGTGGGCGGGGCTGGTAGAGTTTTCAAGCTTCATTATAGGACTCAGTGCACAATTTGGAGGATGGAGTTGGGGCTACGGTGTACTTGAGGGGTCTACTACCCAACGCTACCGAGATCGGACAGGGGTCCATTCTGTCTGTCCACTGCCTTTAAATGTACAGGATTGCGAAGTTTTCTAAATAGTGTGACCGCAATTTTTGGGAACATTGCAAAAACGGCCGGTACTGCTTACTTCGCATGACTTTTCAATGAATCATTATGATAAGTTGCGAACTTCACACTTAGAATCAGCGACTCTGATTAGCCCAGTGTGAAAGTTTTCAGGTTGTTTTGTTTGCTTTCTGAAGCAGATATGGCCTTACATGGCTGAAAGCCCTTTACAAACTACCTACCGTAATCTTACAGTAATGAAGGCAATAGGTGATTCGCTCCATACTGCAAATCTCAGTTGAAGCTAGCTCTACAAAATGGTACTCAAAGCTTCTCGAAAGACTTCATACAAGTGAGTTATTAACAATCAAAGAGTAGGCACATTTTGGGACACCCTGTATATCAAACGATCTAAACCATCAGGTACCTCCTCCACCAAATCGTATATGATTCATCTATCATGAGCGTGGGTAAGTTCCCAAGTCAAGCAACTTACTAAGTGTTCCCATGGAGGAGCGTAGTCAGAATTTGCTACTCCACGATTGCCAACACCAGATGATGACAAATGAACTTAACGAACTTGCTGGATACGCTCAAATAGTGCACGATACTCAAAGCCCAAAATTCATAAGAACGGCTTCAGATCACTTGTGATACACAGATGTTCATTCTTGCTGTTTACTCTAGGATTGCGTGTGTAGTATATATGAAGCCTGCAACGCCTTTCGAGCAGCAATATGTTCTTCAACTGCCAAACGCGACACGACATCTCAAAATCTTCTCCACAATGGCCCTTTTTTCTGTGTTTTCCTAACAATTGTATTATCTGCCTTCTTTTACTAGCCAGATGTTCATTAATGCGCACATTGAGTGGTCGACCACTTTCGCCCTGTAAATGACATGACGTAATCTATAAACGAAGTCTGCATAACGCATGCTGTGTCGTACAATCTACCACGGAAACAAACAAAAAATCTATTACAGACAGAGATCGAATCTGATTGCTTTCGTCTACGCATGTTCGCTTAGGATATTGGAACTGCATATGGTAATCGTTTTCAGCAGCTATCTTCCATTTTCGTAGATTCCACCCCTAACCTCACGTTACCGCTGCAGCTGCTTGCTGCTCTAAGCATATTGCGAATAACTGCCCGCTTCTTACGCTGTTAGAAAATGAATGCGCGGATGTGGCATGCAAAACTAAGTTTTTACTTATTCGTCATCATCTTGTGCGGGCAATCGAGGAGTGAACAAATTCTCACTGCATCCTTTCTGGAAACACTTGGTAAGTTGCTGATCTGGGAACTATCCACGCTCATGATAGATGAGTCAAACGTACGATTTGGCGGGTTGTCTGA